GCTTTCCCGTTATTTGGCGTGTGTGCGGAATTACGCATAGATTGTATTTGATTACGCAGTGTTTCCCTTTTAAAGATAAAGTTACATTTTCCAAAAACACAAATGTCAATTCTTCAGTCTTCGATAAAATATATCTCTCTACGATGGAGAGGCGTTATTTATATAAAATTAAAAATATGAATATGAAATGTTTAACTGATTCTGTTCTACACACACACACACACACACACACACACACACACACATATATATATATATATATATATAATTTCAAACATAATACGCCCGCGGAAAAATCCAAATTAATGTGTGCGAATATTTACGCATACATTTTAGCGGCGTTGTCTCATTTCGACGATGTGTCGCAACGGGAATTCCGAGCTTATGCAGCAAGCGGGCTTTGACGTGCCGTCACGTTCATCTGATAAACCAAACAAAATGCGTTCGTTAAGCGCGAGGCGCATTAGTATTCAAAAGTATACCAACTGCCAAAGTACATTAAAAAATGCCCGGCGTCAACCAGCGCCATGCAAATTTAATCTCGTCTTTCCTCTCGGGCCCTTTTTCTTCTATTTTGCATCACGCTATCGTAGGAAACGCAAATTTTTTAATGCACCACCATAATACGTAATAAAGCACTATGCTCGTAATTCCATGAGAGGGGGGTAAAAAAATACAAGAGCAACGTTGCGGTCCGTCAGAGGGGGGAAAGGAGGAGGGGGGGTAGACGAAACGGCGAAACGGTGGAAAATTAACGAAAAGCCGGACTAGTGATATTTTCCCCTGGATGTGCAGTTGCAACTTTTTTCATCGCACGCACTTTGCGGTCGGCAACCGCGCGGTAGGGAAAAAAATAGGGAAACGCGAGAACGTAAAATAAATTGCGAGTGGAAGAAAAAAAAGGTCATTTACGGCCGCGCGTACTGTGGTGAAAAGATCCTGCCTGGAAAAAAAATCTGTTGAAATTTTGAATTATCGCGTTTCAATCGTGCCAGTTGCATTTTTTTCTATTCCCTCTCTCCCTCTCTCTCTCTCTCTTTTTTCATCGCGACATTTCGCCGCAAAATTTCGCGGCAACGTTTCGACAGCTCGAAACGTTAGAATATCGAGAGTTATGTATATGTATATAATAACGACTCGCGTGAACACGGTACGCTTAACAAATATACGTGTAATATAATGTGGATATTGCATGACATAAGTGGAACGTCAACATGGCCCAATTACTACATATCGAGGCAGCGCTAGCGTGGTTGTGTATATCGCGAATCGGATTTAAGTACCAGTAATCTAATTATTATTCCATGCCCACGGCATGCATCGATTATCGATATGGCTACGTCTCTAATTGCAATCCCAGCCATTGGACTAGTAAGAGAACGAGCCGCGATGGCATCGGTTACATTGGGCTAATTATAAAGGGATGACGCTACAGGAACGTATGATTGCCTCGCAATCAATTATCGCTATACGATATGGAATAACTATAGCACCCTATAGAGCACATTTAATCAGGCCAATACTTAGAGGCTGCACGCGTACTGCACTATTTTACGCAACTTTTTTCACGCCTTCCCAGTTTCAAAAACAATTTTGCCCGATTACCGTTGAGTCACGTAACATTGTTACATAATCAATTTCGTAACGTTTCTAAAAATCGTCACCACTGTTTATGGAATTTTTTAGATTCAGACCGGTATTCATAGTCGGTTTTTATTTCAAAATTGTCTTAAGTAATGTCTTAAGATGCTAATACGACTTTGTGATTGGCTTATGACATCTGAAGACTGTACTTAAAACCGTCTTAAATATAAGAACCGACTATGAATGCCTCAGTATAATTTCGATTTTAATCATTTTTTTCATGCTGTTACGTTTTTTTTTTTTTAAATACGGCGAGTTGAAAGATCAACGAAAGGGCGACTTTTTAGATCTCTGTCTTGCATTTTGTATTTCGAGATCAAGACATAAATTTTCTTATATACTGACGGCAGTTCGCACACCCGTATAGCAACGCTAAAATCTTTCTCTTTCGCGGGAGGAACGGGGTGAAACGTCAGATAAGTTTCGTCACGGCGGCGTCGGCATTCAGCGGAAAGGCACCGCCGCCTATACACAGGATGCCCATCATCGAAAAGAATTCCGCGCGCGCTTCACATACCGACGTCAACGTCGCGTGCAAGGCGGGGGGATTGAAATAAGTCTTTGATATATATTTCTTGCATTCCACGTGAGAAATGCGCCGGGTGATATTTAGACAGGGTACCGTCGTCGTGCAGAATAGTGAAAGGGGGCTGCGCCATGGCGGCACTGCCGCCGCCGCCGCCACCGCCGCCACCGCCTCTGCCGAGAGCTCGAACGGGATTGATGTACATTTTTATCGCGGTGGAGAATCGGGACGCCCTTTGAAAATTTATAATGCAATAACGCCCCCGACGGCGCCAGTGCCGTAAATATCCGGCTCCGCCGCATGCGAGATGTTTGTATTGCGGAGGTGAAAAACAGCGCCCTTGCAAATCGAGATTCTCATCTCTTTTACTTTTTTTTACTGATATCTCGAGAAGAACGCGTGATATTGTTCCAGCAACTCCGTTTCAAATACGAGAATATACGAAGACATTTCACACACGGCAACGCTGACGGTATTTCAAAATTTTTTCGCGTGCGACAAATTATTTTAGTGGTGCGCTGATTGCAGGCGTCAAAAAGAAAAGGCAAAGCTCGCGAGCGAATTTATACCGACTGAAACTCCCGAATTTCCACCCGACCGACAGATAAAATGTTTCGTTCCGCAACTTTCTAGAAATTTCCCGTGCATTCACATGCCTCGGGGCGAAAGGGGAAAAAAAATCCTTTTGAGACTAACGCCCGCGACTGGGTAGACTTGTCCGTAGTTTTAAAATCGTCGTTGGAAATATGAAAATAAAACGGGATGTGACGAAACGAATTTATTTCTTGCTCCCGTGAAATCAGAAACTGTAAAAAAAGAGTAAAATAAAATACATATCGCAATCTTTTCTCAATTCTGTGACATAATTTATAGTTAATAATTACAAGTCTTGTAGAAAGATGCTGCCGCGATTTCGCAGACAAACTGTCGAGATTTCTCGAGCGTAGCAAATAATTTCAATGATATTGTATTGAAGTTTCTACAACGTATTTCTATAACGATAACGGGAGAATAAATAACAGAGACAAAGGATACGATGTAAAGTTATATTAAAGTTAAATTTTCTTAATCGCACATAATTAGACTTTTGATAATTTAAGGAAGACATGATGACAATGATGAGGTGTCGTTTTTCTGAGAATTATATATAAGCGTCATCTCGACGGATAAAACGGAGAAAACCGAGAAACTTAGCCTGCTTGACCGACTAACGAGCATAATTATAGGAAGCTCGGTATTGCGCGAAACACACAGGTGCTGTAATGATGTAACTTGGAAATTACCTTTAGGAATTGCTCACGCGGGAACAATTAATACGCGACACTCTCGGGAGCAATGCCTCAAAGCGCTAACCGTAATTTCAATTCATTAACGACTACTAACGCGCAAGACACTCGCTAAGCTCAGTAAAGAAATTGAGAGTAATGCTCGCTACAATAAGCGCAGAAAATTGTGGGTTATATGTTGGAAATTTACTTTAACTCGGAGATATTATACGCGGAGAAATTAAACCGCGTAGGTACAGTCCGGCGTCTTTCTCAGGAGAAAGAATTGAATTTTCTATGCCTTTTCCATCGAGTATCGATAAAGGGAATTAAATTGTAAAAATTCACGATAATAATTTCTTTCAAATAATCGTTCACATTTCTTACAGACGATAATGTCGATTTTTCTTAGAAAATATTTAAAATAATATTGCTAAAATGATTAACAAGATATAATTATTAGTACAAAAAATATCTTTGTTCTTTAGAGATCAATATTTAAGAAAAGGTTCGTTACATTTGTCTTGAATGTTATGAACTGACTCGATTATTTGAACAATATTCTTATAAATTATTTTACTGTCGCTACACTTTTATATCATATCTGTTGCATTTTTCGTAATAAATATTAATATCTACTGTTTACTTACACTACATTTTTTGCAACTTTTCCGAAATCTTTCCGGATACCTGCGGGACATGTCCATGCACTAAACCGCGCAAAAAGAATACGACTGCAGTACGAAAAAAAATCGATCTTTCGAAAGTTACAAGCGGTTCATTCTTAATTCAGACGACGTCCCACGTAGTCCGATTCTCGTGTTGTCACAAGACAGCCTTATCCCATTCCGCAACGTCGTGGCGAGAAGCGAGCGGTGCTGGCAAGGAGTTACGGGCGCCTTCGACCCAGACGACCTGCACCCGACGTATCCTGGTGCCGGTGATATATATTCGAGAACGCGGGCGCCGCGACACGCGCTGGCTCGAGAGTCCACTCGAGTTACGCGAGCGACGTAACTATTGAAAATTATGTGACCGCCTTATCGTGCGGCTTCGCGTTCACGTCTCCGGGACCGGCGCGGCGGCGTTAAAGTTTTCGGTGCCACACAACCGCAAGCAAAGATGCGACACCCGCTCGCACGACTTGGCGCTCGACCTCTTGAATTGCCAACGTGCAAACTTCATCCTAATAACCGCCGCGCCGTGTTCATATAAGCCGGCCGGCGAGATACCCAAATCTTACTTGAGCGCGAAATCTATTATTCCATTATTATACAACACGACTTACGACCGATTGTCTCTCAGTTCGCCCCATTATATCACCCTGACGTTTCCTCCGCGCATCCCCGAATGCGAACGAACGGACTAAATCGAGTCCTCCGGTCAATTTATCATGGCGTTTGCACGCAGGCAAGCCAGATAGAAACGAAATGAAATCCCCCGGCGTCTCTCTGGGAGAGAGACGCTATAGGGGTCATACGGTCCGCGGAGATTTTACCTCCCTACGTCGAGAGCTGCGAGGCAGATGGTAATACGTCTTTTCCTTTTTCTCCGGACTGTTGCAGATATCCAGGAGTTTTACGAGCTGACGCTGCTCGACGAGTCGAAATCGGTGCAGCAGAAAACGGCGGAGACGATCCGCATCGCGGACAAATGGGAAGCCAGCGACGGGCCAATCACGCCGACCTTTGCCCAGAACGACGTGAGTACGGTTACAAGTCTGTTCTCTTCCATTCATATATATATGCATGCGTCTCGCGCATCCGATTCGCGAATCACGTTGCGAATTTCTCCGAGCAAATAGAGAGGCGCGGCGCGGTGCGGCGCGTCGAAGCCGGTAATAAATCTCGATGAGACGCAATTTCGACGCGCGGGCGCGCGGCAAAAATGGATCTCTCCGCCGTGCGTTCGCTCGGTTTCGTTATTCCGAGCGAAATTGTTGGAATTGAAATCCCGACAATGTTGGCGCGATGGCGGGAAATAGTCCGCGCGTAATTCGTCGCGGCGAGTGTTGATCATACCTCGCGCGGCCGCGGCACAGCGCGGCGCGTCGCCGCGGCATAATTAGCACTGGTAATTATAATCGGCGAGTCGATTGGGCCGCAGGATATCACGGCGGGTCCAATCAATCGGCCGGCCCGCCAATTTTAATTGCTAATTGCGAAACAGCCCGTCCGCAATCGACATGCGCCGTCGCGACGTCATATCGACGCCGATGTCATAATGGCGAACGATCGACGTGACATTCAGCCGGTGCGACGATTGCGTATTGCGAGCTGTTTGCAACCCCGTGCAATCCCACGATCACGTACGCTCGGCTCTTCCGGATTAATTCGAACGTCGTCGGCGAGGACGACGGAAATATCCTCGACAGCCGCCATTCCGCAAGGGAATTGAATAAATGACATTCGCGCCTCGAAGACGTGTTTCGAAGAATCGTGCGCTAATTGCCGTTAATTTTTTCCTCATATTTATTCGTACGATTGATATGTTGCTCGAAAAAAAAAATACCGAATATAACATTTGGATGGCGACGCTATTGTTCGAAAATAATAATTTATAAACTAGAAAAAATATTTTTGTGTAACAATAAAAGTGACTATTTCTGTTGCTAACAAGAGTATAATATTGTAAATTTAAATGAAATAATGTAATGTGAATATTGTCAAATTTCTTTTTTTTTTATTATTATTGATGCATTATTAATTTACTATCTTTTTCCCTTTTTCAATGTTTGAAGTGTAATTGATTGCTATTATTATTGTATATGAATTACAAATTTTTAATTCATTTCCCTGAAAAGGCTGTCGCGCCGTGCGGCAAAATGCATTACGACGAAATACATTGTTACGTCGGTCGACCGTGCATCAATTATTTAATCGACGTCATTTTTCAAAATTATTTTGCAAAATTAATCAAACATTATATCGACGTAATCGAATGCCATATTGACGAAATTACCTACGTGCTACTATTTGCGAGTTGTAGCAATAATTTCCACCGAATTAATACGTCCTTCAATCTGCAACATAATCAATCTTCGACATAATCTCGCTCGAACAGCACCGCTTCCCGCGCTGTTCGAGCTATAATACAAAGAACATCGATACGGGAAACTATTATACTGTCAGCGGCAGCGGTGGTATATAAGCATGCACGAAAAGGATGTGCGTGCGAGACGAAAAAAAAAAGTCTTGGTATTTTCATCACAAGAGCCGTAGCTCTCCGTACATTTTCGGCTTTCTTTGAATGCGCGGCGTTCACGACGCGACGTTTATATAACGCATTCCGGACGTGCATCTCGTCGCGTGAGCAGATATCCCATTTTCGCACGCGCGTGCGAAAAACCTTCCGTGAAATTCCCCGTCACGGGACAGGAGCGGGGCGGGGGGGGGGAGAGGAAGGGGAAGGAGACTCCGGGTAAAGGAGTCGCGTATATCTTTTCGCACGATTTTCACCCGGCAAAGCGGCGTTAATCGTCTGAAGCTGAACGCCTTTTAGATACGCGCGTTCCAAGACACGCGCGACTCGACGTGACGCTGCAGGATCTGCAGCAGGACGACGCTTCATAATAATGCCGCTATATAATATCTCCTCCCGCGCGGTCGCTCCGCGCGTCGAAATTACAGGAAGGAATACAAACGCGCCGCGTGGAAATCCCATGTTGTTTCTCTTCTCTCCGCCTTTCCGTTCCCTAGCCCTCTTCTCGTCGACATTTTCCGATATTTTAAATAAAAGCTTTCCCGCATTTTCTTTACGGGGCGTGCAACTAACAGAAAAGAACAAAGCGAAAATATTAATGAGGCTTCCCAGGTTTGCAGTTCGTTTTACAATTACGCCGACGCGCGCGCGCGCGCGCGCCGAGCAAAGGTGGATTACACCGCAGATAACAATGTTTCGTGCCGAGCGAAGTATCGTCCTTCTCTCTCCCCCCGCCCCCCTTCTCTTGCTCTCTTCGTGTATGTAATAAGCTACGGGGATAGGCAGAGTGTCGACATGCTTGCAGTATGTACATCCATCTACGCCGCATATGTGCACGCGCTCTAATATGTAGATAGTTCGTACGATCAAGTAAACGTTATTGCATATATCAGTACTACGAATTCGATTTGTCCGTCACACGCGGCATTTCTCCTGCACAATTTGATCAAGATTCTGCCCGCGCTTCCTGTGTTTTCGGACGTGTTATCGACCGTATCTCTCATTTCTTCCATCACGTTAATTAATCTTACGTGATTTCTTTTCAGATATCTTTTTTGTACCATTTAAATTAAAAATTTTTTACGTTACCTTTTTAGAAATTGTTTAATTTAGTTGAAAAATTTTACGATAGAAATTGACAATTTTTGAGTTGATTTTACATACCTATACGCGCGCTCTTTCGACTAGGGGAAATGGAGGGATTTATATACTATACGAATCAATGCGAAATGCTATGGCAACCAATTGGAGACGAATCAATATGTTGCAATTCGCTGCTGGCGCGCAGTAAATGTAATTCGCAGAAATTGCGTTGTAATTAAAGTCTAATTACATTGCGCTTTATCATGGAGCGTATCATCACTCTGAGCAGCTCAAGTAAAACGGAGCATTAAATTAGCGTCAATTATAAATTCAAACTACAATATCTTAATAAAATACTTTCCGCGTGTATCGCCATCATACATGTATATAATTCTCAATCGGGCTTTTTCCGTAAAAGTCTTCGATTCGCTTGCAATTTTATTAGAAAATACATAAATACGCGATGAAAGGACGCGTAACGAAGAGCTCGGCTAACTCTCCATGTTTGTAATACAGCATACTGCCGGTTTTTTCTGTATTTTCAATTTTGCGAAACAACTCTCTATAGTTCTGCTATTGTGATTTTTCTTCGATTTTACAACCTGTATGTTTGTGTATATTCACGTCAACGTTAGTGTTAAATAATTTGCATTGTAATTACTTGTTTAAAGAGTGTTTATAATAATAGCGGTATTGTCATTAAAAAAAGCAACAAGAATATGCAACATCGGTTCTGTACATACACGAGCCATAGCAGTTTTAAATTTAAATTAATTGAAACGTGAGTTTGACCAGGCTTTGATCAAAACAATTATTGCATAAAAAACAAAAGCGATGCTTTTGTATTATTTGATTTTAAAATAATCGGGAATCAGGAATGGTAATGGGAATGGAAAACGCGAGTCGCGACTTTATCAAATATTTGATAACTTAAAATTTTATTACTTACATATCGAATGCTCTCTATTATTGCGACGATAATTAAAATGAATCGCTTGTTTGGTTGAGTGATTGCCAAATCAAATTCGAAAATGTTTTTTACTTCACTTGCAATTACCAAATGCATGTTCATTAATGTTTATTAATATCGTTATTAAGACGCTTGATAGTAGACATGTTTAATATATACGGAATATTTCTTGCGGAAATATTTCAACTGAAAAATATTTCCTTAATAATGATGAAAGATATATGTAATACTTCCTGATCTATGAACTGATTAAGATCGAAATATCAAAATAATATAAAATAAGAAAATAAAATCATATTTTTTAACTAATAAACATTGAAAATTTTAAACACTTTAACAAAATCTCGATTTGAGTTATTTAATTTTCTGTCCAATTAGGACTTCGAAAATTGCGAAAACGTTCGATGGTCGATCAGATTTTCAAAGAGAGAAAATAATTTTTGCTTTCAACAATGTCGTTCCGTTGGCGGAATGCAATTACCATAAAAAAAACCGTCGAAAAAAGAAGAGCATTTAATTTACTCTCGAGGCCGGAAAACGATAAATCGGCACAACAATGTCGAACGACGGCGTATCGTCGCGTCGTGCACTATCGTATATACGTATATATATAACTAACGCGGCGCTCTTCCGAAACAACAGTTAACAACTTCTAATGGCGCATTAAACGCGGGCCATTACCGTCGCGAAACAACGCCGCTGTTCTTCGTTATAGTGGCCGCTTTGCTATTCGCTAGCTGTCAAAACTTCGATACACATTGCTGACCGGTTGCGCGTTCGTTCGCCGTTTTACGGAAGAGTTCAATTTCAAATAAATAGACGCTCGGCCCCAAAACAGCGCAGCCGATAATCCTAATTATAACAGAAGTGTGCAGCAATAATGTATAGTAAAGGTTAATGACTTTGTTCGAGCAACATTCATCCGGAAGCTTAGTATTGATTTTGAAAGATAATATTATACGTAGTTTAAAAATAATGAAAAATTACAAATTATTCTAAATTACATTTAAAAGTAATACAAAAAATTTAGCGATAGTTTACCATCTAGATCAAAAGTTATTTCAATAAGAAATAGTATTTTTTTGTCTGTGCTCTAAAAAATGTATAGAAATGTATAAAATAATACAAAATCTCAGTTTTTTTATGTAAATAATTTAAGTATTCAAGATGTAAAATTTTATTGCGATGCAGAGATTAGTTTTTCTGTAAATAAATAAAATATTTATTTGTTCTAACTCTTTGTAACTAATCTGTGAATTGCAGTAAAACTTGCATAAATTATTTTGAATATTTAAGGTACTTGTACAAAAAATTGGAGATTTTTGTTATTATTTTTTAAATTTTAGTTTGTAATAATAAAAATAATAACAAATAAAGTAAATAAAGTAAATAAACTATAAAAGTGTATTCTTCAATAAAAATAAAATGTTATGAACTTACATATGTAT